TAATTAATTTTCGCTGAAAAGGCTTTTTGGGCGTTTTGTATGGAATTTAATTTTCACTGATTTTTGATGAGTTTAATGTGAAATATAGAAACAAAAAGTATATTCGCTGGATTTAATTTTCACGGAATCATCCCTTCATCGAAAATAGTGAAAATAAATTTCAAGCGAAAATAAAGTACTCTACAGTAACCAAAATTTGTCTCTTGTTAAATTGATACAGTATTCTTTTAATTATTTCGTTACCATGGTTGTTGTGTAGAAATTGTACTCATATGATGGGATAATTTTATGTACCGGTATTTATATAATGTGGTTAACGTAAAAATAAAATAAAATAAAATATAAAAAAAAAAAAATTGATACAGTAAAAAAGTCAAGTGTCCATCTGGACCAATCTTGATGCAAAAAATGCTTCACGTTGAAATTTAATTTTGTAATAGAATTATGATTCTCACTCAGAGCATCCCATATGCACTGAATGATGGGATGGTCTTGAACATCCAGATGAACTGTGTGAAAAGTTTTAATTGCGATTATTATACTTAGTAACACATGCAAAGTAAATGGCTGTAGTACTTTGTATTTCAAGTGTACAAAAAGAACGAAGAAAAAACTGCATAATATATTTGACATGCAAGGACTTTTTAGCTCCACCGTTGACTTTGTCGAGCGGAGCTTATGATTTGAGTGATTGATTGTCTGACGTCGTCCGTGTCTACTTTTTACATTTTCAATTTCTTCTTGAAAACTACAATTCTTATTGCTTTGATACTTGGTGTGTATGTATCTTGGGCAAACCTCTTTCAGATTTGTTCATTTCTTGATGATATCTTCAGTTCTTTAATTGAAATGTGCAATTACTAACAGTGGAGTTATCTCAGCCAACAGACTGTTTGTTTGTTTACCCTAGAACATCAAAATAATATACAATATATAGGGCTACATGCAATATCCAATTATTTATCAATTTAAGTTATTCTATGTTTTTTTCTCAATAGTCCAATACCACAGCCTCGTCTATAAGTAGCATCCGGTCAATTTTAAAGAAAACAAGGCAATGTATGTATATTTATTTTTAAATTAATATTTCTTAAATATTTCAGATAGACTAATTGCTTTTAAAGTCACAGTTGTTGCATTGCCTCAGGGTCTTTTAGGATTCTTTGTTTGCATGGAATTTGAACACGCGTATCGTAATGATTTAAAGCAGGCAAATATAAAAATTGTTATAGTGGAACGTGAAACACTTTCTTGCACTTCAGCAAGGATTAATGTTATGCTAACCAGTAGTAGGATTTGTTTATCATCTCCAGCAAGTAGTGAGAATTTCACCTGCGAACTTAATTCTCACCAAGTGGTCTGATATTCTCGCCATTAAATTCAAATTCTCAATTAAGCGGTGGGAATTTGAATCCTCGCAAATAAAACCGCACAATTTGCCATTTTCATCATTTAATGGCAAAAACATCAGACGACTTAATAGTAAGAATAAAGTTACATAATTTTTTTTAATGTTGATGAAGCACATAACAATAGCCTTTTCACCACCAGTTCCCTCTTTTCATGCACATTTCTTCAAAAGAAAATAGAAAATAGAAAAAGTGAAGAAAAATTTGGCAAAAAAGTCTGTGGTGAAAAGATTAGAGATCACATGGTTTTAATTCATGTTCTATATATTGTATTTGTAGTGAGATCTGGCAGTGATTCTGGTGTTGGCTCTGCAGAACAGGTTAGTGTTTTATGTAATGAATAATTAATATGTAACTTATTGATTGAACTACTTGATGAAGAGTTGTCGCCAAGAGGGTTTCAATTAAATTGTGTATATTCTTCATGCAACAGTAATAGATCATTTTCCGTTCACTGCGAGAATCACGCGTTATACGTGGAATCGAATGTAAAAACACGTAACGACAAAGGTCATAGTGTCGTAAAATATTTTGGGGG